CAAAATAAGCATTAATAGAGACATGGCTGCAGTGTCATAGGAAGACTGGAGACTAATTATTCTGATGCCAAGGAGAAATCACAGCACTAGGCTGAAAAAATCCTTTACAAAACATAGAGCTATAGCACCGTCTTTAGGCCAGAAACTCTAAGGATCGCAGTTGAAAGTTAAAATACACACACACTCCCACACCCAAAATAAGATAATCTTGAGATGCCCCTAGAAGGGCAGATTCTAGGCAGGCCCAGTTTACCACCAACCCCCGCTGTATTTTAGGAGAGAAACTCATTCATTTTACGTCCCTATCTGGAAGTCAAATTGGAAGCCAGAGGTAAATGAGGCATCTTGGGAGGTCTCCATGGCAACAGTTCCAACATAGAAGAACCCGAAGGGTTTTAGACAATCACATTACAGATCAGAAGAAAACAGAGATGCCGGCCTAGAAGGAAAGCTCCCTCCCACCCTCACTTCAGCAGGCTGGAGGGGCAGGGGGACTGGTGGGGCACGGTGACAGTGCCACTGGGGTGTGTGCCCACATTTACCGCTGCTGCCTTCCTCCCCTGCCACACCCTGGCAGGAAGCACTGTCACCTCTCACGCGGGTCATGAGAGGCGCCCCCTGACCCCAAGTTGTTCACACATCCAGAGAGGCCCGTCTAGAATGGAGTCAGATCATGCCCCTTCTCTGCTCCAAACCCTCCAACAACTGCCTTTCCACACACAGTCACTAACTCTTACCAACTCCCTCACCTCCTTCCCATCTGTGCTCAAATCTGGCCCTCGGGGCAGCCACCCTGATCCCTACCTCCCACCCCAGCACCCTCTACCCTACTCCTCTGCTTTTCTATACCCACGTCACTGTCTGACATACTGTACTAGCTACTTGTTTCATTTCTTGCTTACTGCACGTCTCCCCTGCCCACGTGTAAGCACAGTAGGCACTTAGAAGCATTTGTTGAATGAATGGTGGTTTCCAGTTGGGATAATTAAAAAATAATTTGAGAGGCAAATTTACCTGGGAAGGAAGAGGGAGAAATGGCCCAGTTTGCAATGGTTCATTTGACCCACTGGTTGAGCTCTCAACACTGCACCTTCAAATTATAGCAATAAATAATCCAGCAATCCCACTTCTAGGTATATATCCAAAAGAACTGAAAGCAGGGTCTCAAAAATATTTGTGTATTCATAGAATTCATGTTCACAGAATGATTCTCAATAGCTAAGTGCTGGAAGCAACCCAAATGCCCATTGACAGATGAATGGATAAACAAAATGTGCTGTATACACACAATGGAATATTATTCAACTTTCAAAAAGGAAGGAAATTCTGGTACATGTTACAACATGGGTGAACATTGAAGACATTAAGAAATAATCCAGGTAACAAAAAATAAAACAGTATATGCTTCCACTTATATGAGGTGTCAGGTGTAGCCAAATTCATAGAGGCAGAAAGTAGAATGGTGGGGACTGGGGGGGGAGGGAGGGGCCGGGGAGCTCTTGCTTAATGGGTATAGAGTTTCAGATCTGCAAGTTGAAAAGTTTAGGAGATTTGTTGCACAACAGTGTGAATATACTTAACATTACTGAACTATACACTTAAAATTAAGATGGTAAATTTTATGGTATGTGTTAAATATTAAAAAATATTTTAAATTATAACAGTAAATGCTTGGTAAGTGTTACCCACCCCACCCCCAACCTTTTCCATGCATTTTCTCATTTCCTCTCAACAATCCTCCGAGGTAGGTGCTATTATTTTCATTTGACAGATGGGGACAGAGGCCTGGAGAAATTAAAGTCAGGGTCCCCAGAGGAATAATGCAGTATTTAAACTTGTACCTAGGTCTTAGACCGAAGGCAGCCACCTTAACTATGATGCTACTCTGCTTCTCTTTGGTCTAGTTAACACCCTGAGGTGGCCAAAAAGGTTTCAAACACAATTTGAAAACACCACATTTGATGAATCTTACTTCCTCCCACCTCCCCACTTGATATCCCACTTCTTAGCAGCCCCAGGCACCTCTGGATGGGCCCAACCTGCCCTTCCCACTCCCTTCTTACGGCCAGTCCTCTCCACGGTTTCCAGCCCACCCTGGGATTCCACCTCCAGTCTCAGCTCATGCTGTACTCTTGGTCTTGGCCCAAACGTCCTTTTTCAAAAGCACAGCTTAATAATAAAACCAGCTAAGATTTCCTGGGAACCTACTACGCTCATGATCCCATTTCAGCTTCACAATAACCTTATGAAGAGGAGACTGACTGCCCCCATTTTACAGACGAGAAAACTGAGGTTCACAGACATGGAGGTCACACAGCCAGCAAGTGGTAGTCCTAGGATCCTCCTCCTAGTCCTGTGTGACTTCAAACTCCAAGTTCTTGTCCACTTTACTAGGGGGCTCAGGGGCTTCCTCGTGCCATCCTGGATTGTCCAGCTAATGTGGGGCCTGCTGCCTCTGGAGCCCATGGGGTTCGTCTGGGCCACCCCATCTCCTCTCTGGTATGATGGCTGGTTGCCTATGTGCCTGTGTCCCCCACCGGGAGGGTCAGGGTGACAGTGGATGAAGCCCAGGGCACCAGTGCTTCCCCATTAATGCTTAGGTCTAAACAGCCTTAGGTCTAAACAGCAGGCCTTGCCACTCCCCACCTCCCATCAGAGCCTGCATGCTGTTTCTTTATTGATCACTACCTGACAATACATCACAGGTTTATTTGTTTATCACCTGTCCTTCCTCACTAGAGGAAGCTCCATGAGGGCAGTGGCCTTTGTGCTGTATTCCCTGATGGATCCTAGAATCGTACCTGGCAGAGCAGGTGCCCAATCTCTGTGGCTGAATGAATGAACATCTATCCCCACAACTGAGAAATGACTTCAGCAGATTTTTTGAAGTACAATACAGTTTTATATATAAAGCAAGGTTCCCAATTTGCTCAAGAGTCCTCCCTACAGGCAGATTTCATTACTGAGCACCTACTGAGCAAACTCGGCCCCGGCCCCGGTGTCAGGGTTGCGTTGCATATAGGGTACAGGCAGAAACTAATGCCCGCAACGAGTGTGTAATTCCACCCTGAGCTTAACCTCCAACACACCGGCTTGCGGCCTGGGGCGTTTGGAGTGCAAGGCTGTGGAGGGCAAAAATTTGAAGAAAGAGGAGGTGTTTGCCTGGGAAAATGGGAGGTGGGGGGAGGAGCAGCCTGGAAAGGGGGTGCCAGGGCCCTAAGGAGGGAGGGGAGCTGGGCACGGAGGGCTGTGAGTGGAGGTGCAGGCCAGGCGGGGGAGCAGGGCCTTCTGGTCCGTGTTAAAGGTTTTTGTTCTTCTCCCTAAGAAAATGGAAAGGTGGTACAATCGGACCAGGCTGGCTGCCAAGTGGAGGAAGGCTGGAGGAAGGCTGAGTGGAAAGTGGATTGGATTCCCTTTCCTGCCCACTCCTGTCCACTGTCACACACCCACGGAGGGCAGGTCTCCACTCCTCACCAGCGCTCAGAGCAGAGTTTACAAGACACAGAGGCTCCGCAAAAGGACAAGATGGGAAACCACCTAACGACATTTCTCAGGTCCCACACTAGGCAGCCCAGGCGGGCTGGTCCGGTGTCACAGCCCAGTGGGTGCCAGGGTAGGGAGGGATGGTTTGAGCCTTGAGGCTCCAGCCTTCACGGGAGCCACACGCTGAGCTGTGACAACCCCATCAGTCAACTGTGCCCATCCAACCCCTCCTTGGACCTTAGGCCTAAAAAGTAAAAAGCCTCCCAAAATGTAAGACACCACGCCGGGCCCTTTGTGGCTTAGGCTCCTTTAATTCTCACGACAACCTTGGAGACGGCAGACTACCAATGAAGAAATGGAGGCACAGAGAGGCCACATAACTTGGCCACTGAGTGGCCATGCAGCAGCAAGGCTAGCCCGAGCCCACCTTTGTCTGATGCTGCATGTGAGGCTGGATTGTAAAAACAGAACTGCTGAGGGTGACGTGAGCATCCCATTTCTGGAGCTGGGGCAGGGAGCCTTGGCCACCTCACCTGGCGCTCAGCCACCCCCGTCTCTGCCTCTTACATTTCTTTACTGCAAACAATAACACGTTATCAACAGAGTCATTAGAGCCTCTAAATAAATAGGCTCTAAATAAACACACTTGCTTACACCTGATTTGGCAAGGTCCACACTATGGACTGTGCCTTATGATTTTGACAATCTCATCAACCATACGAGATACGATTCCCGTTGTACAATAAAGAAACAGAGGTCCAGAGACATTGAGTGAGCTACCCAAAGTCACACAGCGGGGAAATGGCAATACCAGGTTTGCAGCCCAGGTCTCCAGGCTCTGTGGTTAGTTTAGGGCTTCCTTTGGCTCACTCTCTACCCCACCTTCCCCCAAATCCTTGGGGAGTGGGAAAGCTCAGGCTGGCAGAAGCATCTTAAACGAGGCCCATGTGGGCCAAAAGCTCAGAGATCTTGAGGCCATTCTGATGAGTCACTAGAGAAGTCACCTTCTGCCCTCTTCACATAATTCCCAGTTGGGGGGATTCCGATGGCCTCTCCTCTGTGTCCAGGCCCCCTCCCCAGACTGAAGGGTAGTGCTTTATTCCACCCTCTGGAGAGTGCTCCCTGAGGGCAGGACTCTTTCACTGCTGTATCCTCAGTGCCTAAACAGTGCACACAGTGGCACACAGTAGGTGCTCAATAAATATTTGGTGAAGGAATGTATGGATGCCCCCAAAGCTTAAAAGGGGTTTCATATTTTCCACAGTGAAATAAACACTGAATTAGGAAAAAAATAACTAACATGTTGACTCCTACTTTGAGTTAGGTAGTAGTGGTGGCTTCCAGCCGGGTCCTGCCCCTAACTCCCCACGCAGGGCAGGGACACTGCACAGGCCAACTCTGTGCCCGGCACTGGGTCAGGCTCTCCAGTCAGGTGGCCCAGGTTTTACCCTCTTCTCCTCTGTGGTGGTGTGCTCTTGGGGAAATCCCTTCGTCTCTCCGAGCCTCAGTTTACCTACCTGTAAGATCCACTCAAAAGTCAGCAGCAGCAGCAATTCTTCCCTCCTGTGACTTCAGGCAGCAGAGCGAGAAGACACGGCCCGTTGGAAACATCAGGGGCCTAGGCTTTTCTACAGGGGCTCCCCGAGCCCCCCTGGAATTCGCAGTTGGAGAGTCGGCAGGAGCGGTCTGGGCTGTAGGGGCAAGGAGAGAGGGGGTGAGGGGTGCTGGAAGCTTCCTCATCAGGGCGTGAGGGGACAACGGAAGCCCAGTTAACCTGTGTGACCTTGGGCAAGACCCCTTCCCCCCTGGCTCTGACCAGCCTCCTCATGGTTCAAGGTCGTGGCTGGGTGACCTCCAAAGGCTCAGAGCCCCGAGCTGGGAAGCAGGAGACCCGAGAGCTCTGCCCGGCCTCAGTTTCCCCTCCTGCCGCCCCGCATGATTTCTAAGAGCACTTCCGGCTCTGAAAGCCAACCAATCACCACGAGGCGGCCTTGGCTCAGCGCAGTCAGCGCCGCCGCCACTGTGGGTGGCCCGGCGTCCCGAGGGGCAGGGGCGGGGCGCAGGGCAAAGGGCTCCCGGGGCCGGGCGGGCTCCGGGAGCCCCGCGTGGGGCCGGCGGCGCGGGCGGCGGGGAGTGGCGTGGCGGCTCCCGGGCCCCCTTACCTGGCGCGGCGGCGAGGCCCAGCGGCTCGGCCCTCCCGCGCGCCCGCCCGCCGCCCGCCGCCCGGCCGGCGCCGCCTGCTCCGCCCGCCCGCCCCGCGCCTGCTCTGCTCGCGCCCGCCCGTGCCTCCGAGCGGGGCCTTCCGGGCTCGGCGTCCCAACCTGCTCGCCGCCGCCGCCGCCGCCACCCACCGTCGCGGGGTGCTGCCCTCAGGAAGTGGCGGGCCGGCCCGAGGCGCGAAACCTGTCTGTGGGCGCAGCCGCCCTCCAGGAAGCAGCCGGGCGGGCGCGGCGCGGGAGGAGGACCCGCCAGGCTGAACTGTGCGCGAAACGGCTCCGTTCCCAAAGTGGCGGCCCGGCGACTGGGATGGAAATTTTCAAAAATGTATGAGGTAAAATTAAAGAACCAGCCACAGAAACAGCCTTTCCGCAAGTGGATGCAGCACTCTGAAGTCGACAGAGTATCCCTGGTTCTTCTTTCCGTCTTCATAATGCCGAGTTTGGGCCGGTCTCAGGGCCTTTGCCCGGGAGGCTGCCATGCCTGGTCTCTGCCCCAGACCCTCCTTTTCCCCGGACTGTTTCTGGCTTCCCATTCCGGTTGGCGTCTGTGGGTCCTCCCTGACCACCCAGCACATTCCGTCATTGAACAAGTTTACTGAGCACCTACTATGTGCCAGGTACTGATCTAAGGGCTGTGGAACCACACACCAAGCATCCAGTCCTGTTCTTTTTTTCTTTTCTTTTCCGGTTGAGTCCAAGACAGAAAAACCTGTTCTATTTTAATGGTAGCATTTACCATTCTACATAATTATTTCGTGTGTATTCCAGTTTGCCAGTTTATGGTATGCCTCCCCGACTCGAATTTAAAATCCCTGAGAGTGGGGGTGTTGGCTGCCTTGCCCTCTGCTGTGTGCCCAGCCCCAGGGACTGTGCCTGGCTCAATGTAGGTGCTCAAAATCACTTGATGAATGCATCTTATTCCCCTAGCAACCCTGCGAATTTTCATCACACCCATTCTACGGGAGAGAAAACTGAGGCTCAGGTCAGGGAAGTACAGAAGCCGCGGAGCTAACGTGTGCCAGAGCAGGAACAGGAATCCCTGTGGCTTTAAAGACTGTTGCTCTTTCTCCCACGGGACTATCAGTGGAAAAGGTACTGAAGAGAGCGAGAGACCAGCATTCCAGCCCAGAGTCTGGCTGGCACTCATGCACTTTGTGGAATGTTCTAGCTTCCATCTGCTCATCTCTCCACTGGCCAATCAGGATCAAGAAGAGCAGCTCTGCCCACTTATGGGGCTATGGTGAGGGTCAAATGGGCCAGAGTGTGCAAGCTTTAGGGGCGTAAGAGGTGGTATCCGAGTGGGTGGACCTTGTCAAGGTGGAAAACGTCCAGCCAGCCCTCCTTCTCGCAATGGCTGGTGGCCCCTTCCAGCCAGACTGGCTCTGTGGGACCAGGCACCACTCTACACAACGGCTTTGCCCTGCCTCTAATTTGGTTAGGGACTGTGTCGAACACACTTGGCTCTGGGCGCTGCATCCAGTTCAGCTGTTGTCACCCCTGTCACCCCCACCGCACACAGGTCCTAATCCCATTATCAAGGCTGCTGGTAGGAAAGGTGGAGATGATATTTAATATGTTTACCCCTCTCAGTGTATGCCTTTGAGATTTTTTAGGTGTGGATATTGAAGAATTTAGTTTCTTCATCTGTACAATCAGGATTATTGCGGTCCCCCCAACCTTCGGGACTTGTCACGAGGATTAAAGGAGTATACGCAGGTAAAGTGCTTTGAACAGTGTCTGGCATGCAAGACGCACAATAAAAATTAGCTATTATTCTCTCTAAAATACGCTTCTGAGAAGTAGTCTTCTTATCAACCGTCCCCCAAAGGAATGTTTAGGGAGTTGTGTTGGAAGCAGAAGCCTTTTGTTAATAATTAACCATTGACTAATTCAGCCAGGAATTATTGAGTCGCTGGTGGGGTTCTGGGCATCGAAGATACAGCAGAGGAAAGAATCAAAGTGCTTCCCGCAAAATCATGGAGATTACATTCTGGTTTGGGGGATGGGCAGAGGGAAGATGGGCAATAAAATAGTTTTTCTTTGCTTGTTTGGTTTTTGAGACAGAGTCTCACTCTGTCACCCTGGCTAGAGTACAGTGGTGTGTCATAGCTCACCACAACCTCAAACACCTGGCCTCAAGTGATCCTCCGACCTCAGCCTCCTGTGTAGCTGGGACTTGAGCCACCCACACCCAGCCAACAAATACATTTTAGTCTGTCTGGTGGTGATAAGTGTTATAAAGAAAAAGCAAAGTGGGGAGGGTGTGCTGTTGCTTATGAAGTGGTCAGAGAACACCTGCTAGTGACCTTCAAGGTGAAGGGAAGCCACTGGGTACGGGCAGGGCATTGGAGGCAGACCCAGCAACTGCAAAGGCCTTGAGGTGGGAGTGCAGGTAGGAAAGGTGGAGTGTGGTTGGCACTTTAAAAGACAAGGCTAGAGACTGGCGCACAGAGAGCTGGGGAGGGGAGTAGTAGATGAGATGAGATCAGAGAGGTAGTGAGGGTCATACCGCTGTGAACTTTTTAAAAATGTTGATGCTTGGACCTAGGGTTGCCAGATTTAGAAAATGAAACTACAGTACACTCTGCTGTATTTGAATTCCAGATGTGCATGAATAATTTTTTTAGAGTGTGTATGTCCCAATATTGCACAGGATATACTTATACTAAGCAATTATTCATTGTGTATCTGAAATCAAAACTATATATTTATTTTTTAAATTCAGGATGTTATGGGGGGGGGTACAAACGTTTTAGATACATTGAAGTTCAAATTTAACTGGGTATCCTGTATTTTATCTGGTAACCTTACTAGGGCCCCAGCCCCAGAGATCCTGATTCCATTGGTTTGGGGGCGGGCCAGGCGTAGGTACTGTTCACAAGCCCGCCAGGTATTTCTAATGTGTGCCCAGAGTCAGGAGCCACTGATGTGGGAACCACCGTGTAGCCCTGTCCACTCGGTAAGGGCTATGGATGGAGAGTTGTAGGGGGTTTGGGGCAGTGAATTGACATGACCTCACCTTTTAAAAGGATCCTTTTGTGGGGAGGACAAAGGAACAAGAGTGGATAGAGGCAGCTGGTTAGGAAGCAGTACCATCCAAGGACGGGGCCTATATTTGTTGAGCGCCTACTATGGCTAGGCACGATAAGAGTGTATAATGGAGGCAGAGATTCTGGGTCCTGCCCCACACCTACCCAATTTAGAATTTCTCAGGGGTAGGAGTGAGCGCCTAGGAGTTTATATTTTTAACAAGCTCCCTTGATGATTCTGATGATTAGTCGGGTTGAAAACAATTAAATTATTGGATTTAATTTTCCCAGAACTTACAGAGATAACCATGAATATTGTTTAGGGAGCATTATCCTTGTGACTGGCGCCATATGCTTTCCATACATCCTTTATATCACTTAATCCTATGTAGTAAATGCCACTTCTTGGAAGAAGGAACTAAGTAAGGCGCAGAGAGGCTAAATGATTTGGCCAGGATCACTGAGCTACGAGGTGGCAGAGTCAGGATTTGAACCCACGTCTGGCTGATTCTGATCTCTGCCTTCCCGTAGGCCAAAATGTCAATACAAGTTCAAGGATATTTAGGTGATTTGCAGATAATGGCTCCTCCATGGGGGAAGCTTCACCCATAGGAAAGTCCTCCCCATGGGGTGGCAAGATGTTCACCAGAAAGTCTAGATGAACATTCTACCAGCTGAGCAACTCTGGCAGAGAAAACACTCCCTCCAGATAGTTCTAGCAAGATTCCTGGGTAGAGCTGTCATTGGCTTAGTGTTGAACGTAGTAGCCCTGTGGCCAGAGGATGTGATGTTCTGGTAGGTTTGAGACGCAAGCCTTTCCCCCAAAAGACATAATATTATTACCATCAGAACCCACTTGGACTGGGATGGGGGTGTGGGGAGGCAGGACCCTCAAACAGAGTCCCTATCAGGTAGGAAGTTGACCTTGAATTAGCTGTGGCAGGAGGAGGGATTGACTCTCAGACCTGCTGCTCACATAGGTTCTCTGCAGGGTGACCAACTGTAATATTATCTGTCTGCCCAATGCCCCTCTTCTTCTGCAAACAGCAAACTGCCTTGTTTGAGGACCAATTACAAGGTTCTATTGGGGACACCAATCCTGGCCCTGCTGGTGACAAAGAAGGGCATGTGTGACCCAAGAGGATGAGTCAGAGTTCTTCCTTGGGATTTTTCATCATTTCACCAAAGGAGGAAAGTTGCTCCTTTCTTTCTGGAGGTGAAGCTGGGAAAGCATGAGTGGGAGCTGGCCGAATTTCCAATCTCATGGACAAAGGCCTGTCGGGGAGAACAGAGCCCAAATGTTGAGAGAAAAGGAGACAAAAGCGGAGAGAAACGGTCTTAATGAAGTCCAAGGACTTAGTTTCATCATTGCCAAGGCCTCGCAGGAAGGTGCTTTGCCATTGTTTGGCCAAACAAGCCAATACATTCCTTTTTTTGCCTAACTTGGGCAGCTAGCATTTCTTGGGTACATCCTCTGTGCTGATTACACTGAGCTAAATAGTTTCTGCAGGTGGTCTCTTCTGATGCTCAGAGCTCCAAGATTACTTCTCCCCCTTTTACAGATGTAGGAACTGAGGTTCAGAGAGGTTGAAAGACTTAGTTACACAGCTAGTAAGTAGCAGAGTAAGGACTCAAACCAGACAGTCTCCAGGACAATCCACAAAGCTCTGAAACCCTCAGTGTGCTGGGTGTGACAGGAGCAGGCATTCCAACGTGGGATTGGAGCTGGGCATCAAAGCCTCAGGCCAAGCTCTTAGACTCTATAGTATTGCTATATTAGATGTAAAAAACTTTTAAACTATGAAGTATGTACAGGAAAGCACATAGAAGATATAGGCACTGTTTATAAATAATTAGAAAGTAAATACCCACTGTGCAACCACCACCTAAGACAAGCAATAGAACACTGCAGACATTCCAGAAGGTGCTCAGGCGCGTTTGTTGATAGGCTGACCGGAAGTGTTGACAACCGAGCCGGGTGTTGCACACGTCATCTCATTGCATTGCCATAAAATCTCCATCGGGAAGGCCTGATTACCCTGTGTTTCCAAACAAGGAAAGACTCAGGTTCGGGGAAGGCCCATCCTATACCTGAGGTCACACAGAGCATAGAAGGCAGAACGTGGCTTGGAACCACGTCTGTCTTGACTTGTGTTGATGGGGGGAGGGGAAGGTGGGGAAGGAAGGGAGCAAGGTGGGGTGGTGGGGTTGGGATGTAGGTGCAGGGATCAGGAGGAGGCTCTGGGGCTGGACTGGCCTGCTTGGTTTCAAACCCCAGTTACTGACCTTTCTCTAAGCGTCAGTTTCCTGCCCGAATAGGGGTTTGTGTTGATTGGATGAGATACCACGTAACATGCCTTGCACCAAAAATAACCATGCTTAACTTGTGGGGTTGTTGTGAAGAACGAGAGAGTTCGGTTTAGTACAGGAAGCTTTTAGAACAGTCCCCTGCGTGGGGTAAGCGCTCAGCGAGCACCAGCCACCATGATTGTTACTAATTTTATTGTTGTTTTCCCTCAGCCCTCACGTTCATGGGCGAGCAGTGAACTGCAGTCGTTTGCGAACTTGCTGTGTCTACAGCTGTTTGCAGACCGCTTTCTTCTGCAGACTGACTCCAGTGCAGGGCTCTGGCTGGGTGTCTTTGTTTTTATTTATTTATTTATTTTTAGCGTATTATGGGGGTACAAGTGTTGAGGTTACATATATTGCCCATGCCCCCTTTCCCCCTTGAGTAAGAGCTTCAAGCGTGTCCATCCCCCAAATGTTGCACATCTTACTCATTGTGGTTGTATATACCCATCCCTTCCTCCCCCCTCCCACCCTCCTGACACCCGATAAATGTTACTCCTATATATCCACTTAGGTGTTGATCCGTTAATACCAATTTGCTGGTGAGTATATGTGGCGCTTGTTTTTCCATTCTTGAGATACTTCACTTAGTAGAATGGGTTCCAGCTCTATCTAGGAATATACAAGAGGCTATATCACCATTGTTTCTTAAAGCTGAGTAGAGCTCCATGGTATACATATACCACATTTTATTAATCCACTCACGAATTGATGGGCACTTGGGTTGTTTCCACAGCTTTGCAATTGTGAATTGTGCTGCTATAAACATTCGAGTGCAGGTGTCTTTTTCATAAAGTGACTTTTGATCTTTTGGGTAGATGCCCAGTAGTGGAATTGCTGGATCAAATGGTAGATCTACTTGTATCGCTTTAAGGTATCTCCATATTGCTTTCCACAGAGGTTGAACTAGTTTGCAGTCCCACCAGCAGTGTAGGAGTGTTCCTCTCTCTCTGCATCCACGCCAGCATTTGTTGTTTGGGGACTTTTTGATAAAGGCCATTCTCACTGGAGTTAAGTGATATCTCATTGTGGTTTTGATTTGCATTTCCCTGATGATTAGAGATGTTGAACATTTTTTCATATGTTTGTTGGCCATTATCCTGTCTTCTTTTGAGAAGTTTTTGTTCATGTCCTTTGTCCATTTTTTGATAGCGTTGTTTGATTTTTTCTTGCTGATTTTCCTGAGTTCTAAATAGATTCTAGTTATCAGCCCTTTATGGCTGGATGTCTTTGGAGAACTAGGGCATGTGTCTTCTGGGATGGTGAAGCCACTAGAGTGGAGACCCACCCCCTGGGTCCGCCATTGGGGCAGCCTCCCTACATGGCCAGGCTAGCTCTCGGAGGGTGGGGGGCCGTGTGCAGGCGGCTCCTGGCTCCCCGGCCTGCAGCATTGCATCTTGCGTGGGCTGTTGAAAGGCGGAGGCTCATAGTGGGATTTTTCAACAGCCAGGACAGCCTCTGTATTAGGTCAGGGATATTGGTTGCAAGCAACAGAAACCGATGCTGGCTGTCTGAAGAAAAAAATAACTATATGTAGGGAAGGAAACTGAGGCTTCACTGAATCAACAACCAGAGGCGGAAGGACCAGATCTGTGGGGATTATCTTGTAGGCTGCGCCTGCCGCTTTCAAATATTCATCCTTCCTTTCACCACTAGCTCCAGATAGAAAGTTCTAGAAAAGAGCATCTGACTGGAATAACTTGGATCATGTGATGGCCTCAGGTAAAACAGGCGGTGAGTGGGGGAGGACGAGGTGCCCCAGGTGGTGTAGTGGTGTCTGGTGGAACTCTTCCTTCAACAGGATTAGACACAGGGCAGTTTGCTCAGAAAGGGAGATGGCAGGGGGTGCTAAACACAAGACAGTGGAAGGAAAGAGGAGGAGACAAACATCTATCATAGTCCTGTCTTCTTGGCGCAAACAAGCCGTGACAGTGGGTCCCTCAGGTGTCCCAAAAGATAAGCTTGCTTCTCCATGCAGACAATCTGCCAAGAGGCAGCGAGGAGAGCAGAAAGCACAGGTGTAGCTTTGGAGTCAGACAGGGTCTCAGCTCAAATTCTGGTACCTCACCCACTTGCCCGTGACCTTGGGCAAATGCCTTAACACCTTGGGTTTTAACTCTTCAGTCTGTGAAATGGGGCAATTCTCATATGGTTATTGCAAAGATTAATTTAAGAACTGTAGGCTCCGATTGCAACTCCATCTATGAAACACTGGGCCTTTGGGGGAAATCATAGGGCTTTTCTGAGCCTTGATTTCCCATCCACAGAACGGGAGAAGAAAGTAGGGCCTACTCTTGGGAGTCAACAGACTTGATTTTGATCCCAGTGTTGCTACTTCTGTGCTGTAGGACCCAGGACAAGTTATTAATGTTTAGCTGAACTTGAAGTAGCCCAGCTTAATGGGCATAGTGCAAGTGTAGGCACAGAATAGGTCCTATATTGGTTTCCTAGGGCTACCATAGCAAGGGGACTGGCTTCAACAGCAGAAATTTACGATCTCACAGAGTCCCAGAGGCTGGAAGTCCGAGGTCAAAGTGTCGCTAGGATTGGCTCCTGCTGAGAGCTGCTCCACACCTCTCTCCCAGCTCCGGGTGGCTTTGCTGGCAATCTTTGGCCTTCCTTGGCGTGTAGATGCAACAGCTGATTTCTGTTTTCATTTTCACATGGCGTTCTCCCTGTGTGTCTTCACGACGTCTTCCCCCTAGCATGTCTGTCTGCGTCCAAATGGCCCTTTTTCCTAAGGACACCAGTTACATTGGTGTCCCTATAAAATGAGGCCCTAATGACCTCATTTGAACTTGATTACCCTGTAAAAACCCTGTTTTCAAATAAGGTCACATTCTGAGATACTAGGGGTTCAGACTCCAACACATCCTTTTTAGGGGTCCACAGTTTCAACCCATAACAAGTGCTCGGTTTCTGTTCGTTTTCCTTCCTCATCAGACAAGATTGAATTCCCTGCTCAGTATGTGGCACAGAGCAGAACCTCAGTAAATATTTCTTGAATAAATGACTGAACGGATTCTAGGTTCCATGGAGTTCTGGATTCTCCGAAGAGTGATCCACTAACCACAGAGACATCCCACCACCGCCGCCCCTTTGAAAGAATGACTTCAAGATACTCAGACGAAAATACAAAGTTCATAAGAACAGCTCCAGGCAGATTCAAGAGCCTGGACCTGATTTATCTTTTCAATGTGCTCTAGACTGTTCCTACAGCTGGAAAAATCACAGAAAAGTCCCTCATTCCTAGGAATACTCTGGTTTGCCACAGACAAAGGATTAATTGTTTTGGCAAAGGCTGAGAAACTCCTTCCAGTCATTTGAAAAGAGGTTGGAACAATGAACAGGGGGCCCTAGAAACAAATAAGGAGAGGTGAGGAAGTGGCTGAGAGAAGGGACAGGTGCACTCCCATAACCCTCTGCCCCAGGCACCTGCTAAATCAGGAAGCTGTAACCACACGAGGCATTGGCAGCTCATCTTGATTCTTCACCTTTAGGGACAGGGGCCCACATACCTTGAGCACTTATGATGTGCCCGGATTGTTCCATCTGATACAGCAAAGTGACTCAGAACCCAAACTCTGGAAAGACTCCTGCAGTCTACTCTTGGCCCCACCACTGCCTTGCTGTGTGATCTTGGGCAAGTTACTTAACCTCTCTGTGCCTGAGGCTCCTCACTGGTAATTTGGGGGTAACAACAGGACCTACCTTATAGCATATGTGATAATATATGTAATACACTTTGCCAGTGCACTCAAATAATGTCAGCCGTTATTGTTATTTTTGTGCCGCTGTTAAGGACGCCCTTGAAGCTGAGGCTGGTAAGGGAAGAGGCGAACTGTAGTGCCCAGGTTTGAATAAATGAGTCTGTTCTCGTCATTCCCGTTGGGGCTTTCTAGAATGCAGCCTGTCTTCCCCCTTCTTTACTTCCTTCTGATCCTAAGTGCTCAACCACGGCTTATTTCACTAATTCCCCCCAGGAACCCGCTGAGACATGTGTTGTAACCTCTGTTTCATGTGCAGAGACCTGAGGCTCAGGGAGACAAGGTGACTGGGAAGTGGTGAAGCTGGAATTCAAGCCAGGTGTGTCTGACCCCAGGGATACTGAAGAGGGAGGTGGGTCTGATGTGGGTGGAGCTTGGCCTCCCCTGCAATTCTTCTTTGTCCCAAGCATCTCTGCACACGATTCCCCTGCCACATTGGCCTGCCCTGGACAGCGCTCCCCACTCTGGACTGGCTTCTCCACCCGTCACCAAGGCTGGCCTCCTGCTGGCTGTCATGTAAACAGGCCCCAGGGAGCCCATTCGCCCAGGGGGTGCGTGATGGATGATGAAGGCAGTCGTCGGTCTGGACACTGCCATCCCATCCAATAGCACCTTGGAGCCTCGGAGGCATTGGGAGGGTGCCACCCTCCCCCACTGCAAATGCGAGCAAATCAAGGCTCAGAGAAGTCCCGCAACTTCCTACCATCATGCACTGGGTCAGAGCTTGGCCTTGAGTGTCAGGCTGGCTCTCTGGCTTCTCGCACTCTCATCCTTTGCAGCGCCCTTTCAGGGTGGCCTGGGCTGCCACCGGCCTCTGGGCCCTCTGTTCCCATGCCACCAGGGGCAAGGATAGGGTCAGCACCAGCTGGGCTTCAAAGGGGGTGCTAATAGCAGTGTCAGAACACCTTTGTGCAGGGGACAGAGGGCACGTTGGTTGGGGGCCTGTCGCATGCCAGGAATGATGACAGGACATCCACTATTATAGGGGCCTTTCTGATTTTCACAACATGAAGTCCAGGGAAGTAAAGTGACCTGCTAAGGGCAAGGAGGGGGCAGGTGAGGTCTCAGACCTGGGCCTCCAGTGTTCCTGCTGACCCTTGCGGGGGACACGGGGGCTGGGTGGTGAAAGTCTGCAGGAGAGCCATCCCATTTCATCATTCTCTCTCCTTTTTTTTTTCTTTAGCACAGACAACAGGGGCTGGAATTCTTTGGCCTCTCTGAACCCTTGACTGCTGGAATTTGGAAGCTCCTGAAGTTTCCTGTTCTCCATGGAATTCCTTACAAGCCCACAAGTGGGGACCAGTTTCCTGGTTGATTTGGAGCTGCGTGTAAAAGAGGCAGTGTGATGAGGCAGAAAGAGCATGGGATTACTTCCTTGGCGGACTTGGCAGGGGGCCTCTGGCAGTGACTGGCTGTGCAACCTTAGGCAGGTGAATTCACCTCTCTGATCCTCAGTCTCCTCCTCTGTAAGAGAGGGATAATAATGGCCCCTACTTTATAAGGTTATGAAAATTAACTAGATAATACACATAAGCCATTAGTTTAATGCTTGGCACATAGTAAGAATTGGATAAACACTGAGCCACTGTTGTTATGGTAGATATGGTGTCGTCATTAGCAACTGAAACCTTGGTAGAGGTTTTGTTCTTGGGGAAGGATTCTAGAACTAGGTAGAATGAGAGTGGAGGAGTGAGTAGGGAGAGAATGTTCCTTCTCTATCCCACTGGCAGCCACCTCAAACTGCACATGCCCAAGGCCGGCTCAGGAAATACCCAGTGATCCTTCTCGTCTACTCATCTTTGGGAAACAGGGTGTTCTGCAGGCCCACTCGGTCTGGCTCAAAAGCACAGGTCTGTGCATTCCCACACACTCAGGCACCCTCTCTCGGCACCATGTGTTGATAAGTCAAGGGCATGGGTGTCGGAGTTGCCCTGGAAGTACCTTATAAGAACAGAGGAAGGCACCCCAATTTTAAAAACCGCCAATTGCATGCACGTATTTTGATTTCTCCTTGTTTGAGTCTGCAGGGGATCTGACCGATGTCCATTGTTCTGGGGCCCAACAGTGGCCTCAGCTCCTGGGACTTCGCGGTGTTTTAGGGCTAATGCAGTCCAACTCACTCACTTTGGGGAAAATAAAGCTGAAAGAGGCAAAAGACCTAGCTCAACAACACACAGCCACTGAGCCAGGGTGGCTCCCATGCTCCAGTGGTAGAGTTCTCCCATCCCTCCCTGGCAAAGGCACAGTCACCATGAACAGTGTCCAGCTGTAACTCTCATCCTGCCAGGAGGAAGAGGAGGGAGCAGGACAGGACAATGCACTGGGCCTGGCAGCCGCTCTGAGGTTTCAAGTCTGTTTCCCCATCATGGGGCCTTTCGAAGGAAATAACGTGTCACCTCCCACATTCTGCTCCCCTGCACTCCCAAATAAAGCCCCGGCTGGGGCCTGCCCCTGGCAGCCTCGGAAAGCCACTCCCTCTAGCAGATGCCTCCCCTGTGTTAAGAAGCAGAATTGTCGCGAGAAGGCACACAAGGCCGTTCAGATGATTGTGACTCTCTGGGTGAGGTGGGAGTGGTGGGGTTATTGGTGAGAACCGTTGCATTTATGGGGACTCTTATCTTTACAAGAAGCTCAAATGGGACTTGAGATGCAATAACAAGAAAAGCAACACCCATAAAGACTTGGTTCTATTGCGTGGGACCTTGCAGGAGATGGGCAGCTGGACCCGCTCTGTGTGGAGGGCAGTCCTGGTGACCCCAGGATTCTCGGTGTAGTCTAGGCTGATGTCATGGAGCTGGGACTTCTGGTGGGGTGCTGGGAGCCCTTCCCAGGCCCACCCCTCTCTACCCGCCTCCACTTCTGCCAGCTGATGTGGGACTCCCCGTTCCCCCCCGCGGCATCAGAAGTACCATCCCTTCACCCACGTTCTCCCCCTCCAACCCTGGGGGCGACTCAAGGGCAGACCCAAACAGCCAGGACGTTTGGCAAGGTTGGGACGGGCAGTGCTGGTGGAAGCGCAGGAGGACTCCCGTGGGCTCCAGCTTCCCAGGACGGAAAATGGGATCCAGAAATGTGAACAGACGACCCCAAACACAAAAAAACAAACTAAACCAAAACAAGAAAATAGAACCAGCAATATAATTGCAAAAAAAAAAGAGTCCCAGTTCTATTTGTTCAGCACCAGGCTCAATACTGCAATACTTTCATCAAGTCAAGTTATATAAAGAAAAACCAGGAGCATTGCAAGAAGAGGGACAGGAGGTCTCCCTCATGGGGTTCAAGTAGTTTGTGTCTCCTCCCCCACCCCCCGGCGGTTTGGCTGTGCAAGGGCAGTTGCAAACCTACTGTCCAAGCATGAGTTCTTGACCCAAGATGACCATCCTGGCTCTGGCTTGCAAGTCCAGCTGGCATGGGATCTCCCGAGGGAGCCAGTCTCAGTTCATGGCCCTGCTTGTGGGGGGATCAGGGAACCCAAGAGGCAGGAGGGGCTGCAGGGGCTGCCTGGTCACAGTGCCTCAGGCAATGGAGGAGACCTGGCTGTCTTTCCGCTCTCCGCAGAAGAGAGTCCTGAGGAAGGACGGGCAGCTGCCCTGCCTGGGGTGACAGCAGAAGAGGGTGGACATCAGCAGGGCCAGTGCGATGATGAAGGCAAGCACCCACCGGATGACGCCCGGGTAGATGAAGGGCAGGATGAGGGCGATGAGCAAGATCAGCAGGAGCAGGTGTGCGGCCAGGCGCCGGGCCGCCGCGCGGTTGGCACTTACCGCGTCCTGCCCATCTTCTCCTGCCAAGCTGGGGTGCCACTCCGTGGAGGCAGCAGGATCTGCCAGCCGCTGGGGAGAGAGCCGCACCTCGGGGTATGACTGGGCCAGTCGCCCCGCCACTGCCTCCTGGTCACGCAGGCTGCAGATGAGACCACCGGGGACGGCGGTGACCTTGCGGCACAGTGGGCAGGTGATGGACCAGGTGCTGTCCTGAATGCACAGCAGGAGCTTCAGGCAGACGGCGCAGAAGGCATGCTGGCAGGCCAGCAGCTTGGGCAGCCGGCCACAGCTGTAGGGCTCCCGGCACACCAGGCACTCCAGGTCACACTCCTTGGAGCCACGGTGACCCCCTACACTGGTGGCGGCAGTGGTGGCTCCTGCAGAGCTGGGCTGGAGCTGCTGCGGGGTCCCGGGGCAGGCCATTGTGTGCACAGGGGCTGGCGGGATGGGGCTGCTCAGTGCCTGGGCCGGTGCCGCCGGGACTTGCATGGAGACTGGCTCTGCTTTTCGCCCTCGCCAGGTACCTGCTCCAACAGCTGTCTGGCGCTGCTCTCTCCAGGGCTGCCCAGCTTGTTTCCTGGCTCAGTAGTCCCTTCAGTTGTTATTATTCCTTTCCTCGAAACCTGGGGTTAATCAGTAACTCGCAGGGCTGGAGACTTTGAGTTGCCTGATAGAAGGGCCACAGCGGGCAGGGCCTGGTGAATCAGGACTTTCCCACTGGGGCCAGCTGCCTGGCGAGTGCCCAGAGGACCATGGCACGTGAGCTTCGGGATGCACTCGGCTTCCTTAACCTTTTACAAATGCATATTTCTAGGCCCCAAACTCAGAGGCTGAGCTTCGGCAGGTCTGGATAGGATCTACGAATCCGTGCAGTTAACAAACGTTCTCGTGATCCTGATGTAGGTGGATTCGGGGACCCCGCTTCGAGGACTGGTCTCAGACAAAACCTCTTGGATGTCAAGATGAGCAGAAGTAAATTTGTCTGTGCTTTGAGCACATTTGCAAGCAGGTGGCCTTGTAAGGAAGAGAGAAGGGATGAGTTAAGTATTCTGAGTGGGAGGAGGAGAAAGCCCAGCCAAACACAGAAAGACAAACACAAAACCAGCCCGCAGCTATTGGCACCTGCTCGGAAATTCACTTCCTGATGGTCACAACAGTCGATCAACAGTTACCGGTGGGTGAGCATCCCTTCCCGTCGGAGCGCGGCTGTGCACGGCGTGTACCTAATAACAGTTATCAGTCGCTGTGCGCGAGGCAGGCCGCGTGCCCCGCAGTACCAGGAACAGCTGCTGTTTATCTGGGTCTGCTCTGAGCCGAGCCCCAAGCCTGGGGTCCTCATCCGTGATCTCCGGGAACCCTGGCACGGCCCTGTGTGGCAGGCCTGGGAGGAACGGCAGGGCGTGGGCAGGGTAGGCCTGCTGGCCCCCTGCCAAGGGGCCTTCTGCTGGGCAGGACCTCGTGGAGTCTCCCGGCGTCCAAGGTCGGCTTCCCAGTCTCGTGGATTCCATCTCGTCAGTTGGTGCCGACGCAATTGGTGGGTGACTCAAGCCAACAGGACTCGAGTAAGCAGAGTGGCAGTTAAGAAAATGTGACCGCCCCTTACCTTGTCGTGAGCGTGAGAATGGCCGGGTGGCACATCCACTCCCTCAAAAAACATCCCATTCGGGCCGCCGTGTGTCCAGAAGCAGCGCGAGGGGTCTTTTGCTGCTCGCCCCACCTGTCCGGGACCCCCAGGGGTCCCCTCCTCTGATGCAGCTCTCGCCCTCACCCCGAGCCGCAGGCACAGCAGATCACCCTGGGTGCCCTGGAGTCACCAGCCCCACAGAAGCTTTCTGTGGGTGACCTTGTTTAGCCCCTTAACCCGGGCCCCCCCGTCTTCGAAACCCAATCCCCCCCCCCCGCCACCCCCCACCACCCCCGTCCCATGCCGCTTCTTCTCCTCAGCCTTCAGTGTGACAATCAGTTTTTTTCTGTCACCTTTTCCTCTGGATCAAGCTGATGGTGGCCTCAGATCTAGCACTGGACATCCGGTTTCTTCCCCATGCCCAGTGTCCGTTTCCCGCTTTTTGGGTAACAGTGGCCCGTTTCACTTTGAGCAACCTCTGCTCTCCACTGTTGTTGTGCGTGGTTCCCGTGCGGTTGACCTGTCACCCCGGCTCTGTGGGAGCAGGGAGCTGATGGGGTCCTGGGCAGACCAATCAGCATTCTCATCCTGCTGGCTGCCAGCACAGGTTTGGGCATAGGCGTGTGATCTAAGCCGAGTCACTGAGATTCGATTCTGGGACTTCTGTTGCAACTGGAGAAGTTTCTTTTTCTCCTGGGTTTCCAGGCTGGAGGATGGAACCCTGGGGCTGCCAGGACCACAGTGCACAGAGAACCTGCCCAAGAGTAAGGTCAGCACAAAAGGTAAGAAAAAGTCATACAAAGGCCTCATGGCATTGCCTGAACACCCGGATCCAGCCATGCCTGATGCTAGAGATCTAGCTTTGGATTTTTCAATTGTATGAACCTATGACATCTACCCCAATATTTATTCTTAAGTCGGCTCAAGTTGGATTTCTGTCTACTGCAAGCAAAAGACTTCTGAGAAGCACAGCAATGGATGAAGAAAAAAGACTTTGCTAGCTCTCTCTGAAAAAGAGTGGAGCCCTGAGGAACAATCAGACTTTGTACACAGCCAAGAGTGACCAAATGCCTGTGGGTTACTAAGCTAAAAGAGACTGTGTTTTCTCTGCTTTTACTTGCATTGCATGATGTTCCTTTCTGTTTGCTAGATCCCAGGAGGAAGGGTTGGGGATGGGAGGAGAAGAAAAACTTTGCCGAACTTCATACATTTATAATGAGAAAGAGAAAATCAGCTGGTCCATGAGTGATGTTGGCTTGGCCAGTGCCCTTCTCTCTACTGGCCCACTTAGTGGGAAGCCAAATTACCAGAAGGTGGAGTTGAAATTAGACCAAGGATAGGCTGGGCGCGGTGGCTCACGCCTGTAATCCTAGCACTCTGGGAGGCCGAAGCGGAGGATGGCTTAAGTTCAGGAGTTTAAGACTAGCCTGAGCAAGAGTGACACCTGGTCTCTACTAAGCATAGAAAAATTAGCCAGACGTGGTGGCGTGTGCCTGTAGTCCTGGCTGCTCAAGAGGCTGAAACAGGAGGATCGCTTGAGCCCAGGAGTGTGAGGTTGCAGTGAGCTGTGATGACACCACTGCACTCCAGCCTGGGCGACAGAGCAAGACCCTGTCTCAGAGAAAAAAAAAAATAGACCAAGGGAAGATCGTGGGGGTTCGTGGCTAAAAATTAACCTTTCGATGTTGGGCAAGCACAATTAGAAAAACATACCATTGTAACAACACATATGTTACAGAAATATGTGAAGTAGGGCATGAACGTTCTTTTTACTTCTCCTCCTGAGAAATGGCCACTGCTCACAATGTGTTCCGCCATCCTGACATCTTGGCTTGGGAACAACTTCATTTCTTAAAGGTGCCTTGCTTTAACTATCATCTGCACTGCCTTTCTACTTGGAAATCCATCTCCTGTCTCTTTGCTAGCTGTGTGGCCGTGGGCAAGAATTGCAGCTCTATTGAAGCTCAATTTTTAAATGCTAAAAATGGAGACAGTAACACTTCAGGAAATTACGCCCACTAAAACCTGCTCAGAGGAGGCTCAGTAATTTACGTCCCTTGGGTTGTAACTGACCTGCTGTTGAGACACCTTGGTGATCTGTTCATGCTTCTTGAAGAGGAGGGAATGTGGGCAGAGCCTATGGCGTAGCCTGAAGCAGATCGATCCCAGGGGAAGTGCACGATGTCTCTGGACACTTAAAATGTTCAGTTCATCTGGGTGTCACATTCTTCTCCATGCCATATATATGTGTATATATATATATATATATTATTATTATTATTATTATTTTTTGAGACATAGTCTCGCTCTGTCACCCAGGCTGGAGTGCCGTGGCATCATCATAGCTCACTGCAACCTCAAACTCCTGGGCTCAAGTGATCCTCCCACCTCAGCCTCCCGAGTAGCTGGGACTATAGGCATGCACCACCATGCCCGGCTAACTTTTTCTAGTTTTAGTAGAGATGGGGTCTCGCTCTTGCTCAGGCTGGTCTTGAACTCCTGAGCTCAAGCAATCCTCCCTCCTCGGCCTCCCAGAGTGTTAGGATTACAGGCATGAGCCACTGCACCCGGCCTCCATGCTATATTTGTGTTTGATGTAATATTCCAATCCCAAAACATAAATGAATCCTTCCAAATATCCAAATAAAATATATTGATTTATTTTAATTGCTGTACAAATATGAATTCATTAATTATCAGTAAAACTATTTTTTTTTCCATATGAAATGCAGTTTCTTCCATCTCGTGGCTTCTCCCAGCCCCGGGGTTATATAGACTCAAGTTTGAGAGGCTGTGGCCTCAAGTAGGGGTGGAATTTCACACCCAGCTGCAAGTGGGGAGGCCAGAGCCAGTTCTGTTGAGAGGCATCACTCAGAAACCACTCCGTGCTGGCAACCACAGGCCCACATCCTTAGAAAGTCATTTCCGATCTGCGTTTTAGGCCGTACATCAAGTTCATTGAGAAAGGAGTCAGGGCAGCAATGTCACGAGATCAAACTGTCCAGCCCATCCCTGGCCTCAGTACCTGGTCGGGCCACCCTTACCCCACACTCCAGTGGACAGAGAGAGCCGGGTCCCAGCCAAATGCCCACTGCTCCCCACTCCTCTCTTTGCCCTGGGCTGGCTGGCCAGGGTCTTAGCCAGGCGTGGGGGACCTTCTAGATCCTTAATTGCGGCCTTTTGACTGAATCCAAATTTTACTGAACGAATCCTTTTATTTTTATCAACACATTTTTGTTTACCTTTTATATTGTTATTTTGTTTTTAAAATGAACGTGTTTAAAATACCAAAGGATGAAATAAGCTTCAACAAAATAATCCTTCCAGATTGATCAGCACAATTAGAATATTAGTAAGCCATAAGGGCTAAATCGATGGCTGCTACCCTCGTGATTTAGTTCTGACTTCACCTGCCCAACTGACGCCACTACCGCATGAGGCTGCTTGGCCAGAGTTTATGGGGGTCAAGTACGCCAGTCTGTTAACAGCTTTTCACAGCGGTGCACTGCGTTTCTGTTTGAAGTGGAATTTGTGAATAGTTGCACAGTTTGACAGTATTTTTTAATTCTGTCTGCTTAATAGCCCATCCTATCAAAGAAGGCCAAGAGAACACTGAAGGAAGAAAACAGATTTTTAAATGAGGATTGGGAATTGCAATATTATCTTGTTTCTGCTAAAGATAAGATGATTTGCTTGCTTTGTGATACTGCAATATCAACGTTAAAGAAATTCAATGCTTATCAGCATTATAACATTCATAAGGACCACAGATATTTTAAATTCGAGGGAGAGGTGCAAAAGGTTGTATTGTAGAAATTAAAAGATGAAAAGCAAAAGCAAAGATAGTGCTTTCAAGCTGCAATGAGACACCTGGAAATAATACCACTG